GCTATAGCACTCTATTTTTATTTCACTCAGCATCAACCACAAATCTTCCATGAATATGGAGGTAAAAATCAAAGCTAAGAAGAGTGTTTTTTTTTCACTTTCCACATATGATGTGAAAAGAAAGTAACAATTCGATTTATTGAACCTCAAAAATGGAAGCTTATAGATACTATCTCCTTTACTCCTTTGAGTTATTATTGATGGAGATAAGGCCAAGGGAGATTAATTTGTTTGCTTAATGTACCAGTTGTTCCTCACAAGAACAAGTGCCATCAAACAAGGAAATAAATATGTGTGCCATGAATACAAGTGTTCATGTACCAAACTCACAAAGTTGCTGATCATTACCATTAAGTATTAAGAAACACTGACATTGACATCTGTGAACTACTTAGCACAGAGGGTTGATTAATTTGGACAATAAAATATTAAGACCCACTGCATGAGGTTAGACCACTGGTCATTCTGGTCCATCTTTTTTTTTTTTTTTTCATGGCAGTAACTGATGGCTGAAAAAGAACACCATTTGTTTTTTGGTTTAAACCTCATGACATTGAAGACTCTGGTCAGTCAGCATGTCTTCTTTGCTTGCTGACTTGCTTTGGGAAGGATGTCTACTAGCCATTGACTCCGTATATGTACTACTACTTGGTTGTCCTTACGTTGACTTGAGGATTCTTTGGGTTTTCATATCAGTCATTCATCTTGATAAACAAAATGTTATTCAAAGTCTGCTGTGTGTGTCACACTTTGATAGGCACCCGTAGGACTTAAATGCACTTGATTCCCTTCCATGTCTTATATTAGCTGGAGTATATTCTCATTTGCCAGGCGTCTGTCTGAATGTTCATTTGTTTGTGCTCATCATTTGTTAAGTATTTGATATCACTCTGGATATTGGGGTTAGAAAGTTAAATAAGATATATATTTTTTCTGTACTCAAAAAATTTTGTGAGGAGTTTACAGTCTAACAAATAAATTTTTTAAAATTCTGTTTTAATTTCCCACCTTCATATCTTGACATAATGTGCCTCTACTACCCATTTATGAAGTAGTATTCCTTTATTCTAAACTTACTCTTTATCTAGATTCAGGGCGTCTCCATTAACTCATTTATAATATTGTGTTCACAAGTCCATCACTTGGTTCTTGTATTTCATTTTATAGTAGCCTCTAAAGTTATTAGACTGAGAAGCTGGGATGTCCTCTTCCCACTGAGGGCATCTTTCATCCAGGCAATCCTTTGGCCTTTAGTTTCCTTTGACTAGATCCTTTCCTGTTCCAATTAGCCCCATTCTGAAATTCAACTACAAGAACCATACTAAGTCTCATTCTTTGAAGTTTTCTACAATTGCTGTTTTTGGATATAATGAATATTGCATAGGAGTTTGTTTCATTCATTGCAGAATTGTAGCTAAGCTTTATCATCCCTTAACATATCTTTGGTGCCTTTGAGCCTCAGTTTCTCTTCTGTAGGAAGGAAGTAACGGTTCTTCCTACACAGAGTTGGTTGTGAGGCCAGCAAGTGGCAGAGTGCCTGAGTTTGGGTAATAAATTTACAAATCAGGATGATGTCCAGTGTGTTATTGGCCTTGTGAGTTGGAAAAGTTGGTTTAAAGCTAAATATTTAAAAAAAAAAAACCAAAAACTAAAACAAAAAACTAATACATAGGGGTCATAAAATACCTTCTGTGTGAAGAATAAAATTAGTTCTATGTAAAGCACTTAAAAAATACCTATTATATAAGTATTATTATTTTCATTATCCTCTCGTTAGACTAATAAATATTAAAAGTAAATTCCTCTGTTATCTACAAATAACTGAAAGGATATTTTACTTGACATATGACTTCTCTTACTTGTCTTCTGATTTTCCTAACATTTCTCTAATTCCTAAGGTAAATCGTATCTCAGTTCTTCTTTTCTCAATATTATATCAGTACTTTTCAAATAAATTACTATGTTCAAAGATATCTTCCTATCTTTCCTTTAAAAGTTTTATTCTCTCTTATGTAAAATGGAAAATATAGCTACTTAATAGCAAAATAGTAAGAAGCGGTGTGACTTATGTCTGCTGCCTAATAGTCTACTCTTACATGTTTAGAGAGTAAAGACTATTTCTAAAATTTCAAAAGCAGAAATTCGTAATAATCTCTGTGGGGGGCCAGTGTTCATACTGCCTGACTTCTGTGCACTGTCGGACAGTTGGCACAAATACTAAATATCTGAATACAAGTTATCAATCTTGATGCATATGGAAAGTTATTATATGAGCTGAAGAGATCTTAAAATACAGTTTCTTCACGTTCATGACTGTATATACTTTTTAGGCCCTCGGAAGTCAAAAACATGATAAGCATACTACTGATGCATGTTCACACATTACATCATTGGTGATCTTTATTTTAAAGTTTTAAAAGTTTTGACTTGTTTGTAGTGTCTAATTTTTGTTTCTAAACTTAATGCCAAATTTGTCAAAATGTATAAAATTATCTACATATGATAATAGGCACTATCTGTTAAATAGACAAAAGTAGAATGAGACAACAGATCCTAAATGAGTCTGAGACATGATCCCAGCATAGTTCAGAATTTTATTTCTGTCCTCCACAGAAAAGAATACCATTATAAATATGCACTATGAATTGATTTATTCAAACCATAAACATTTGACATTGTTACTCAATCAAGTTTGACATTATCATTAAAATTTAACATTGACATTTTTGTAACACAATAAACTGGTGTACATTGATGAGTTAGAAGGTGCTACATTACGCAATGTGCAAAAAGTGATGCAGAATACATATCTGACATCCTGGAGTCATATTATTTTATAATTTGAAATATTTAAGGAATAGTTTGCCTTCCAGTAGTCATACATTTTTATTCTGTAGAAAATAAAAGAGGAATCTAAGGTTCATCTTTGGCCTTTCCTTTTTTTTTAACCTTTGCTATCGGGCCACCTTCCTATTGGAATCATAATCTCATTGCTGAGTGGTATTGAATAGTCTGAAGAATGAGTGAGGGGAAATTGTGAATTCAGAGACTTTCAACTACGAATCTGTATCTTCTGTATGTTAAGTTCTGCTTTAGGGGCTTAATATGTCTGAATTGCCGTGTCACCACATACTAATTAATTGGGAATTATCATCCCCATTTTATATACAAGAAGACTGAAGGCCAATTTTAGTGACCATCCCATATAAACAGAAGATGCAGATTTCAAACCTGATTCAATTCCAGTTACTTCTAGTTTCCCTGCCTAAACAGAGAGCAGTTTTAGAGCCGCTGTTTGTATACTTAGCAGTCACAATATCCCACATATCTATTCTTTTTGATATTACTAAACTATTAATTTTATAATGAAAAGAGAAATACTGTGCAATAATAGTTATGCAATCCAATTTTTAAGCCTTTAAGGCCAATATTAAAAAATATATCCTAAACAAAACATAGACTCAATAGTTTCATCCTAATATATACTAATGACCAGTGTTAATCAAATTTTTTTTTTATCATCATCTCCCTAGGGAGTCTTTAGGGTTTGATTTTTTTTAATTACTATCTCCCCCATCACTGTAATTTTAATACCACAGATATCTGTTTATATGCTGTGGATCCTTTGGTAAGGGTTAGAGGATATCACAAACCATTACAATATCAGAATTTTTCCTTTCCCGAAAATCAATTTTCACTCCCTTGTGGGCAATATTACTCCCCTTGAGAATGCGTAGTATGGAACAACTAAGTTCAGAGCCAGTCAGCTGTAGTCTAATTACAACAGTGGTTCACAAAGTGTCATTTTTGGACCAACAGCACAGCATCACCTAAAAATACGTTACAAATGCAAATCCTCAGGCCTCACCCAATCCTACAGAATTAGAAACTTGGGACGGGGTGGGGGGGACATGCAGTCTATTTTAACGAGCCCTCTAGGTGACCCTGATGTGTGGCAAAGCATGAAACCACTAGTTATGAATAGCGCTGAGAGGTGGCACCACGGCATGATGACAACATTGAGCAAGTTACGTTATGTCTCGATTTTCCATCTGGATGTCACCCAGATATATCCTGGTTTGAAGCCTGACACACAGCTTCCCAACCTCACCTGTCAGGATTCCTACTGAGAATCCACCTGTCTTCCACAGGGGAGGGAAAGAATGAGACTCAACACTCCTCAGCCTCTTTACTAGGATGTTTTTACATTTTTTGAAAGAACCTTCAGCCTACCAATTAGGATTACATTCACAAAGGCCTGAGTTCCCAAAAACAGTAAGTAGGAAAATAAGCAAATAAGTAAATATTTACATTCTATGCTGATAAACATCCCATTATGGGCATTGAAAACAAACAAAAACTGAAGAGTTTCATTTTACGGCAAAGTGAGTTACTTAAGAGACGTGGAAGACAAGGAATTTTTCAAGAGGAGCATGTTATTTTTCTTTCTTAAAATTTTCACTTGTATTTTTACAAAAGTAAGATTAAATGTTATTTATTTCTTTACTGCACAGAGTTTTTTTAGTCTTCTTTTCTCCTGCCTAATATTCTAATCATGTACTTGCACAGACTGGTTCACCCACTTTATTGACTTTCTTCCAGCTTAGCTATCTGCAGCTTGGTAATCATCAGAAGTATTTATTTTCATGTGTGGTTTGATTAAAGAGAATCTTAACCTACAGAAATGAAAGCATAAGGAGACCTGGCTACGGCAGTCAGAAACCTCCCACATCACAACCACAGGGCATATGATACCTAAAAGCTGAAAAATACCTGGTGCCATGATCTATAAACTTCCACATGGCAGCTCCAGTTCAAGACTTCTCCTGCTCAGGGATTTATAAATTGTAAATGGCTTATAACAATCTCAGCTTTGGTGATAGAAAAAAAAATTCATGTTGATGTAAACATCATACGCTTTAGTATGTACAACTGAAAAATCAAATGTTAAATTGGAGAAGAAACATTTTCAAGTTTTTCTCTCTTCTGTTTTGTTTTAGGTGGAGCTTGCTAAGGAAGAGAAGTGTGAATTTTTGCCTTTCCTGTCCCCACGGAAGGTTATAGTAAAAGGTGGAAGAATTGTTGCTATGCAATTTGTTCGGACAGAGCAAGATGAAACTGGGAAATGGAATGAAGATGAAGATCAGCTAGTCCATCTGAAAGCCGATGTGGTCATCAGTGCCTTTGGTTCAGTTCTGAATGATCCTAAAGGTAGAGTGCTTGACGCTGAAATGTGTTATGCAATTGTCTGTTACTTTAGTGCCATAATAGTTTCCAGCTTTCAGGGAACTGTTTTTCACTTTAACACTTATTTTCTTCTTCTAGTATGGAATGCAAGCAATCTTGATTTAAAAGGCTTAGCAATGTTATTTAATGCTTATGCGGGATTACTTTTAAAGTGTGGGAATGGAAAAGAATGATAATCTTGCTTTTAAACCGATAATCAAAATGTACATTATATTTTGTAATATTGTTTGCCTTGTTTCTTCTATAAGAATAGCTTTTTCTTCAATTAGTCCTAGAGTAAGAAAATGTGACAGAGAAGTTGTAACAGCCAATCTTTGATGATTCAGACAAATTAGGATCTAACGAATAGACAAAAATAGGATTCGTATTTAGTACTAACCGCATGCCAAACCACCACTAGAAATATCAAAATTATCGAATTAGGAAGTTTGAACTCTTGTCATTTCATCTGGCTGGCATAAATTGACATGCTAAGAACAAAATGGTTTTTTAAAAAATGACGATGAGCAAAGGAAATGTTTTATATGGCATTTAAACTGAATAATAAGTCAATTAGTTAATACCACTCTGTGTTATATTTCCCCCACACACACACTGTTTTTTGGGCCACTGAAGATGAAAGCTTAGGTGCCTTCATTTTGCAAATCGTTTACCTTAATACAGATCGTTGGAATGACAATTAAGTCTTTTATTTACTGAAAGGAAAATAAAAGACATTTCTCTAGGTCATAGATTTATTAAGAACAATAACCAAAAATATCTCAATCTGACAATTCCTGTCTATGACTTCCTACTATAACCATGCTAAAATTACAGTTTGTGTCTGCAGCAAGGAGAGATATATGCATGCAAATATGCATTTATATGTAACAGATAAGTAAAAACTTTAACCAGTCATCAGAATATTTTATCTGCAGGACATCAAACAGCTCCGTATCTGGAAACATCCAGATGTTTAATGTCATCAAGATAAATGTTTTCAAATAGCTGGATGATGGCCTGAATTTATCACTTTTCATCTAAATGTTTATGTGGTATATAGACACAGTCACAGTGTGGTTTGTTTATTCATTAGCTGGGTTTGAGGAAGGGGGACAAAGAGTAAATTGCATCCTATTATCTAAAAATTCATACTGTTCTTACTGTTCTACACATCACCAAAAGCTGAATAGAAAGTTGAATCATATTTAACCATCAACTCCGCTGGTGATTCGCCTATCAAAAAATAATTTAGCTTACTTATCTAAATTTATGTTCCACAACTGACAACTCTAATATTAAGAAAAATGTATGTTTTTCTAAGCAAACCTAAGTAAATGTGACTCAGAAGATCATAGAAAACAGCTTTTGCAATTTCAGATGTGATTTTGTTAAGGTTATGCTAGAGTGTGAGTGTGTGTGTGTGTGTGTGTGTGTGTGTGTGTGTGTGTGTGTGGATTGGAAGATTTAACTTAGTATTTAAAATGTAAAGTAGAAGAAAATTTGATCTATTCATGTTTACTTGACAAAATCATTCCAGAATTTAAATTCGTGTATTTTATTCCAGATTTACCTGTGTAAGTTACTCCACATATATTTAGCGATTTAGAGAAGTCAAGTAAAAATAGCTCTTCATTTTTTTTTCTTTTTCTCTCTCTTCTTGACTTGAAATAATAAAATTCTTGAAAATTTATTCTTAAATAGAATTACCTGCGTTACCAGGGCCCTTCAATGTTCACGTTAGTAAGAAGCTGCTTTCCACGTGAGAGGAGAACTGGACTGTGAAATGTTCTCAACTCTGCTTTTAAAATGGAAAACATCGAAGAGAGGGGAATAGCAAATTAATATTTGTTAGAAATTGATCAAGATCTTACCCAAATGACATGTAAAATCTTACAATAGTAATTTCAAAGTCAGAAAACTCATGTGCACACACAGGATAGGTATAGTGAAAATCAGTTTACAAGAAGTTCTCCGTTTGGGTAAGAAGGGAAGGTATTCATGTTTTCCTTTTCTACCCTAAATCTTATGTGTGATGCCCTTGTGATATACATGTAATGCTATATCATTTAATTTATTTATCTTTAATACATTAAAATTCTGTCTTTAAAAACTCTTAAGACATCAACGTGCCTTCCCACCCCTCTTCATCCCTTTCCAGCCTCACTGGCCCCAGTGAACTTCATGCCAACCTCGGTGACATCTTTTCAGTCCTTATTCTATTTTCTGCATTTGACAATATTAAATATTTCTTTCTGTTTGAAATGCTCTCCTCTAAGCCACTTAACCTTTCTGCACCTCAGCTTCTTCCTCTATAAAAAACAAGCATAATAATACCTTCTCTCCCTACCTCTCAGGACTGTTGTCAGAATTAAAATGAAATCATGTAAAAGTGCTTCGAAAACGAAACTGCAACAGATAATTATTGTTTATGACACTCTATTTTCTTGCTTTTTCTCTTAACTATTACTTCTCCAGTCTGTCACTGACTGCTTCATTTCCTCCAGCTTATTAATTTTTAATACTTTCCAAAGGTCAAAGTTGCCTACTTTCTCATCTTAATATATTTATTCCTTCAGTGAACTGATTGTCTCAGTCATTCATTCATTCCTGTAAGCAATATCTAATGAACAACTTCTGTGTGCAGGCAGTGGCTAAGCTTACAGTAGGTACCATTTCACTTCTGTGTAAAATGACTCCAAAATCTCTTTCTCCACTATCATGTCTCAGAAGACATTCTATCCTATATTTATGCTTATGCATGTGACAAACATTTACTGAGTATCTAGTGAACGAATGCCAGATGTCAAGTCATATTCTGGAGAGTACAAAGATGAATAAAGCATTTTTAAAAACTTTACTGACCAGGGTTGGAGGCAGACCTTTAAACAAAGAATTATTTTACCAAGTGGAGAATACGTTTAGACAGAGATACACAAAGCAAGGAAAGATGACCTCATCAGATTTCCCTAAGGCAGATCTCTTGTCAACTTTGCTATTACTGTAAATGCTACCATAGTTCTCCTGTCATTAAAGTTCAAAATGTTATCCAAGATTCAAATGTCTAATTCCAGTTTTTCTTCCCATTAAGTTCACCTATGTTACCCTGTGCTATAGGTTAAAGCTCCTACACTTCCACAGAGGTAACTCAGTCCTTGGTGAAGGCATGATATAAATATATGCTGAAGAATTCAAGGAATGAAATAAACGTGACAGAGTACACATGAAATACAATGATAATTTATACTCTCAGAATTCTCTGATTATAATAATATTTTTAATGAATATACTTGTAGTGTCTCAATTATATCAATCACATATATTTGTAAAGGTAACTTAAAGTAGGAAATTAAACTTTTAATCTCAGTTTTCTTTTCCTCTGATATACTGCATTACTTTTGCAAGTCCTTTAATGTGTATGTTTCACAAAAGAAAATATAAAATAACTTTATTTAGTATTAAGCACTCTATATATCTGTGCTATACATTTCCTGTAATAACAATGTTAAGTGCCTCAACAGCTTATAGAAAAGATAAGTATATGAAATTTAAAAAACAAATTTGGATTCTGCCCTTGGATTACAGTTGCTAATTGTTTTATTGCTACTAAGGCTAATGACAATTATAAGTAATCATCATTATTTTATCCAATTCTATTTTATTTCTATCTCTTTTTTTGGATTGTAGCAGTGAGTGAGAAATAGGAACAAAAGACTAGATATTTCACATCCCCGTGTATGGAATATATGTGCATTTATTGTGAGCACAATTTAATTGAATCCTTTATTAACTGCTGTCCCAAATTATAAAGGCTGTGTGGTGTCCAATTTCTAATTTGATTGAGATAATAAAGACTTAGCCTTATCTAATGTCTTTCCTGTGAAAAACTCAAAGTAGTTCCTCTTTTTAAAAATTATCATCCATTCTCTCTAAATAGGTAAGATTTCAAATTACATTAAATTGAGTTTTTTTTTTTTTTAATTGTTCGAGACTGATTTTAAAGGCTGTCAGTAAATTAAGCCTAAGATTTTCTGATCCACAAATATTGCCCTTCCCTGGAAAATTTAAAATATTTGTTTATTTTGGACATGGTTCTGTAGTGTAGTGGTTAGCACGTCTGCTTTACATTCAGAAGGTCTTGGGTTCATGCCCCAGTGGAGCCACTGTCCCTGGTCTATGGCCATGTCACCCTGAACAAGCCTGATGTCTAATCTCAGAAGCTAAGCAGGGTTGGGTCTGGTTAGTACTTGGATGGGAGACCGTCTAGGAAGACCAGGTCCTGTAGGCATAAATAATAATAATAAATAAGAAAATATATTTTTATTTATTTTAAAAATATGTATTTTGTAATATAGGAAGTCTCCTATTCTGGTAAACACCAATATTTGAATTTTCTCTCTTTTTGTTTGGACAATGTCAGGTTTAAGAAACTTCATGCTTATTTTCAGTTTATCCTCCCTTCTCTCAGGCTTGGAACCAAACTGCCAGTTGTAAAAGTGTGCATATCTTTTCCGTTAGTCTTGAACTGATGAGGAGAACATGTTACTATGTTTACCAACCTCACAGCTTCATTTTTCTAACAGAGGTAGTAACAGTTGGCCTTGTCCTCACATTCCTACGAAATCTAGATGACAAAATTTTGTCTTCGAATATGCTTTCAGACAACTGAAGGAGGCACTTCAGCCCTGCTTGCCATACCTCTGTACCTCTGCCACACACTGCACCACAGCCACCTTCTCTGTCTTTGGAAATGTCCACTCTGAAAAAAGCTGTATGCTTTGATCTTCTAGAACACATTATAATTCATCTTCTAATTAGATTATAAACTCCCCAAAGGCAGATAGTAGGCTATAGTCCCAACAGCCACCAACATATTAATCTGCCTGAAATAGATATACAACTTATATTTCAGCATTTGACTAAATTCATTTTAAGATATTAATTTTATTATACCTAGTTATTTTTTCTTGTGGGATAGGTTTGGT